TTCCAAACTGCTGTTCAGTAAATCTACAGGTGACTCCATGAAGGATCCGTCCATCATACAGTCCATGGTAAACATGGATTATGGAGGATTTGGGGGAGTGACTGGAAAGACAAATAAAAATTAAGATAAAAGCTTATTGCTATCTAAATCTGTTTAAAAAACAGAGACAAAGCTGGAAAATAGTTTGATACCTTCCTTTAAAACCCATGGCGCCCTCCCTAAGTCTTCAAGGTGGATGGTCTTGGCCTTTCATAGGCTTCTGACCCTCTTCTAAGGCACTGAAGCAGCAAGCTGGTGAGGTGCAGTTGGCATCAAATGACCTTTATGAGGCAGCACAGGGCAGGCCTGCTTTATAATTAGCTGTTTCTACCATCACACACATCTTTCCAAGTAGGTTTCAACTAATGAAAGCACAAGTTGGCTTCATTCCAAGGCCACTAAAAAGGAGTGACTTTGATCCAGTCTGACTGTGATCCGGTACGTCCGCTCAGAAAATGGAATTCCCCGTCTCAGTTGATCTTACACTATAATAAGCATCAGGAGTTTTTCTTTGCTGGTGATTACCTTAACATACCTCTCTGCTGCAGCTTCTGACATATATTCAAGACTGCGCTGCAGTCAGGCGGTAACCTCTGGGGTTGAAAAGTAAAGCCAACATGGATGTGCTAAAAGCTGCAGTTCGTCAGACGGACACTTGAGGATGGCTTCCAAAACGAGTTGATCGACTTTACAGGAGAAATCAACATGTTGACAACCTGGTACAAAAAAATTGTTTTGATCTTTAAAACTACTTTTACTATTGGTGACAACTGTCTGTGAATTTTTACTTACTAAGATGGCGACGGATGGAACCACCGCACTGAGCTTCATGGACTTGGTTAAGGAAACTTTGATGTCCTGGAGGGTTGATCCATCTTCATATACAGTCAATGATTTCAGCAAACCAAAGATTGTTAAGGGAATTTGTTGCTGCATCTTTGAGGTATTTGGTTTCGGTCATGGATGGTGCCCCATTCATTCCAATACAAGCCGCTGGCTGCGTGCATATGATGAACTAAATCTTGAATCATGCAGCCTTGACTCTTTCACAAAAATAAAAAGAAATATTTAATGATACCTCTCAAAATTGGTGGGTCCTGGAGGAATTACCAGCATATATAATGCTTTTTGGGGTTTCCCCTCCCCTTAAGGTTGCATGGCTGAGAAGGTCACTGGGTGCCCTCTGCCCACACTGGAGGACCTTCATGGCTCTTACGCCTCAGGAGAGCCAACACCATCCTGAAGAACTCTTACCACCTGGGACATTTTCTGTTTGAGCTGCTGCAGACGGTACGAGGACATCAAAACCAGGACTAACAGACTGAAAAACAGCTTTTTTCCAACTACTGTCAGAACCATAAATGCCTCCCTGTCGCAAAAGGTGGAATATATTGTTAATATACAGCTGCCACTACCTCTGTCCAATATCCAATCTGTGCAATATACGCTGTTCTTATTACTTAATTTAATCTTTTTATATAAAGCTCTTTTTTGTCTGTTTATATATATATTTCTTTTATATTGTATATAGTGTTTAACAAAGTTTTTATTGTTTTACAAAGTTTTATATTTTTGTCTTTTGCACTGAAAGACCTGCACCTTACTTTTCATTGTACTTGTTACAGTGACAATAAAAGAAATCTGAATCTTAAGTGCGTTGTAGCTTTTTTGTGCATGTAAAAGGTCTGCAGACTTATAAAGGCCAATGAAAGCTCTGCTCCTTACCTGCTGGAAATGCCTCATTTGTAGTCCAGGATTTTCTTCTGTTACTCATTAACATCACACTGTAACACATTTGCATGACGTCTGCCAAGTGGCTAGCTCGAAAAATCATCAAAAACAAAGCGGCTGAAGGGTACAGTTTTTAAAAAGGCTTGACTTCCTGTCATCGGCCAGCTGACCAATCAGAGCAGAGCTTTTTGGGAGGGGGGGTCCTGAAAGAGACGGAAGCTAAAAGCGGGGCAGAAGAGACGCTGCAGGAATGTAAAATATGAGAAAAATAATGTGTTTTTTGAGCATTAAAGTGTGCAAATGTAGTCTAGTTGACGCCGAAATGAACATTTGCAACTTGTAAAGATGGAGAATAAAGGGTTCTTTAAGTTCTGACAACAGAGAGTCACCTCAAGATCACTGTGATGTTCAGATTTCAACCTTTTTCTCTTGTCAAGTTAAAAAGTCTGGAAAAAAAAGTTTTGTTTTCATGTCACATTGCAATAAAAATCAGCTGACAGGTCAACTAATCTAGTTAAATATCTATTATTTACTCTGTGTGCAGAACATCCAGGACACCCAGATGTCAGATAGGGCCATGCCAGCTGGATTTACTGCCAAGCACATCAGATAAAGAGCACCACATGTTTTTTAGACGGGATCGTTCCTCGACAGTAGCACGAGTACAGATGGGATGGTGAAGCTTTAATATAATAAAAAAGAACTTCAGCGTGAGGGAATCAGGATTGTTATGTAATTACTACCACTGTATCTGTATCACTCCACCAGCACATTTATCAGGCTTTTTATCTCCCCTCACTGGATTATCTTGACACCACAACCTGGGCCTTTTCTTTTTCTTTCTTTTTTCAGAGAATCAGATGAGAGCGGATGCAGAGATGACAGGCCGTAAATGAGTTTCCACGGAGTGATTGAAGAACTACAGTGGGAGTTCACGAGCCGGGTGATGTAATGTCGTTATTTTTGGAATGCAATATTGGAAGTCATGGAACAAATGGAATTATAAAACGACTTTGCCGGAGTCCAGAATGTGAGTCATGGGCTCAGAAAAAAAGTGTGGAGGGGGGAGAAGAAATGACCTATATTTCTGTTTTGGGTGGTGACAGTTCCTGCCATGCCACTTTTAGCGAAAAACTTTTGGACCAAGTGCAGCAGTTTGAAGCAACAGTGATGGAGTTTAAGGGAGGAGGAAGGGAGGGAAGACTGACTTTTTGATGTTTGATGAGGGAGGGAGTAAAGGTGTGTGTTCTGTGCAGACTGAGAGGGAGGGAGAAGGAGAGAGAGGGAGAGGAGAGGGTGAGAGAGGTTTCTTCTCAGTAGTTCCTCCTCTCAATCTGATACCGGCAGGCTGTCTTGTGTTTTTTTTTTTCTCTCTTCCCTCCTCGGCTGCGGTGAAACTTCCACCAGGTAAGGAAAAGCGACCAAGACACTCTGACACGAGCGACTTTATGACACGACTCTGCATAATAATAATCCTCAGGCTTTAAAAAAAAAAAAAGAAAGAAGAAGAAGAAACAGCCGGCGGCGCGTTTGCGTGCTTGCAGAGACGTGCAGCAGGATTGGAGAAGTTATTCCCAAATCGCCAACTCAGCAGCAGCAGCTTCTTTTTCCTTTTCCTTTTTTTTTTTTAATGAAAAGTTAAACCTGCAGTAACATCGCGACTTTTGTGCGTGTGTTCTGACTTGTGTAAGTGTGTAAGTGTGTGTGTGTGTGTGTGGTTTATCCGGACTGCAGCTGCATGCCAAACTGATGCTCTGGCGCTGTAGACGTGGCTCCGTAAATGATTTCATTATGCATGTGTGTGTGTGTGTGTGTGTGTGTGTGTGTGTGTGTGTGTGTTGCGGTCGGTGTCGCTATCAGGCGGTGTGTGTGTGTGTGTGTGTGTTGAGTTTGTGGTCATGTTGCACGGTGCACACATGTTGGAGGGGGGTCCTGGTAACCTGGAAGGAGGAGGTGGTGGAGGAGGAGGAGGAGGAGGAGGGTGGATGATGAAGTTGTGATGTAACGCATTCATTTAGTTCTGTAACTCAAATGTGTGTGTGTGTGTGTAGGTGTGTGTGTGTGTGTGTGTGTTTTTCTTACCAATCATTTAATACACCAAAATGTGGTTGCATAACTTTTATCAGCTTTTATTGGTTTGTTCCCATTGGCAGCAAGAAAAAGTTATACTTCCTTAAGCTCAATAAAAACAACTCAGTCAAGCGATGGAGGCGTTCTTCCTCTCGGGTGATGTGACCTCTAAAAACTTGAGGGAACTTTAATAGAATTGAGGTCAGTGAACTCCCAGCGGCTCCCTCAGGGCTGGACTCTGATGCAGCTGTGGTCTGGACGCAGAGCAGAGACGTCTCTGACAATAGGATGCTGATAAGGCCTTCGTCCAGGGTGACTGCATTTAAAGATTCCCTTTAAAATAGAGTTTTTACCTTATCAGCATGTCTATATGGTGTTTTTTTTTATTCGCTAGGTGGCATATTGTGAGAGAAGTAAGCAGCCACAAAAGCATAGGTTGAGATTTATGGGGTTTTATATGTAACAAACCTGAAGAACCAATCATTTAACTTGCAGGGTGAAGCTTAAATATGTTTGAATATGTTTGAATACGCCTTCTGGTTGTTGGTTCAACCTTTAAAATCAAATTAGCATTTTTAGAAGTCTAAGGCCTCCTTCTTTAAAATGACTTAACTCTATGAAGTCCATGCCACTTCCTCTGCAGACCCCACATCACTGCCTGCAGCTCGAGCACACCAGCTCACCTACGAGTCTGTTTAATCGCTATTAAACTTCTCTACTGAAAGCTCCACTGGAAGTTGACAGGATTGGTTCTTTGGTTTGTTGTGTATAATTCTATGTGTTTGAGATTGGCGTCAGCACACTACACGGCTTTTGTTCAATCATGCTACATCTTCACGTGATGAACACTATACTGACATTTTAATAAGGTACAAACTTGATTTTCAAAGGAGCCTTTAAAAGACAATCACTCCTGGCTCCGGATGAGAATGAATAAATCAGCATTCTCTTGTCAGAGATATGGACGTCTCTTGACACAGTTGACTTTGGTGTGATCCATTTCCATCCAGGCTCCAGCTGCATGAGAGTCCAGCCCTGAGGGAGCTGCTCCGAGTTCACTGACCTCGACTTCTAGTGACACCAGAAACACGAGGAGACAGTGGAGAGGACTTGTCGACATTAACAAGCTCTGTCTTTCATTTTGGTTTTTTGGAATTTTATCAAGGATTGCCCTCCAAACTAGTGAGTTATTATATTTTGGCATGCAAACATTTGTGCTCTATAGCTGGATTAAATGTGTTTGTTTTGGTTGCCTGTTACGCAACAATGAATTGGTTTATTCGAGATTATGATGCATAAATTATTTGTCTGTTATTGAGATGATAGTTGATGAAATGTAATATGCATCATTGGCATAGTAGTGGTTTCCCCAGCAGACCCTGAAAACACTCGTCCTTGGACACAACACTTGACTTTGTAGGGGTTTGTTGTTTTACCTTTTTGTCTCAGCTGTGACCTTAAGCTCCTCGATGCTGAGCAGCTTGTGCAGCAGTCTGCCACCCCACTCAGCAATACCCCAACACCAGGACCCAGTCCAGTCCTAGTTTAGTCTCCTCTGTTTGTTGCAGAGGCTTTTATCGGTGTTAATGCAAAGCAGATGCTTTTCCAAATGAACTACAGCATCAGTGATATGTGGGCATGCTGTGTTATAAATGTAATTATAAGATACATTTAAGAACACAGTGTGTCAGCAGACTGTATGTTTGCTATAAATCTTACAAAATCTCTCTTTCTATTTAATCCCCTTCAATTTTTGCTGCATTTTAATTCTTGTCAGTAAATAAAAGCGTGCACAGGATCATCACGCTGTAGTCCTTTGTTGCTCATAATTTGGATTCATAACATTAACTGTCTTAAAATCTCTAAAACAACTTGTTGGGGACAGATGGAGCTTTTATTAAGATTTAAATTCTACTTGAACAAGCGTCTACAGCCAGCTGGGATTCATTCTCGGATTACCATGGGTATCAATGCTACATTTCATGGCCCTCAAATAATTAATTAAACTCATATTATTTCACTAAAAGCATGAAAAGGTTAACCTGCTGGTGCTATAGATGAAAAATCAGAGGATCCTTTATGATTTCCTCAGTCTGTTGTACATTTAATAGTTGTTGAAATACTTAATATGGACCAAAGTAATCAACAGACACACCAACAATCTCTGTCAGTTAAAAATGTGACTTCATCTGATGGGATGCAATCAACTCCATTATAATAAGAAGGTGTGTAACACTTTGTGCATTTGTCCCAAACCATCATGGTGCAAATGTAATAGTTTGGTGCATGGAGTCATACAGAGAGTAAATGCTTTGAATGTGATATGTAACCAAGTTTCACAACCCTGATTTCTACCAGGAAACCTTAACCTACTGTTAACCAGTGAGCAGCATGCTGCGCTGAGCTCAGCTTAGAGTCAGTCACACGATGGCAAGTGTGCATGACACAGGAGCTACAAGACTGATTCACTATTATGACAACAATGGTGGATTGGATGAGGGTGATCTACTGGCGATGTGTGGAAACACTTGGAAACCACACGAGATCTATCAGTGCTCGGCAAAACAACAACAGAACACATTTATTGTATGCATTTTTTAAAGCTGAAATTGCATTGCAGGCTTTAATGGTAATGTAGGTTAATTATAAATATGTTGAGGCTGCAAGGTGGAGCGGTGGTTAGCATCGTTGCCTCGCAGGAAGAAGGTCGCCGGTTCACATCCCGGTGAGGACACCTGGGATCTTTCTGCTCCATGTTCTCCCCGTGCAGCGTGGGTTCTCTCCGGGTTCTCCGGCTTCCTCCCACGAGGTCCAAAAACATGTTGAGGTTAATTGGTGATTCTAAATTGTCTGTAGGTGTGAATGTGAGTGTGCTTGGTTGTCTGTCTCTAAGTGTAGCCCTGTGATAGACTGGTTACCTGTCCAGGTGTCCTCTGCCTTCACCTTGAGTCAGCTGGGATAGACTCCAGCCCCCCATGACCCTAGTGAGGATTAAGTGGTGTATAGATAATGGATGGATAACTGTGTTGCACTTGTCTCAACAGACATTTAATATTTTAGTAGCGCAGAATTTTTAAAAATAAAAATGTGTTGTATAATTTTCAGGCTTTTGCTGCTGTACTGTAGAGGTACCAAAGTGTGAAACCCAAAATCTGCAGAATCCAAGATGATGCATAATTAGTTCATTTCACTGATTACCACTGAGTGTCGTGCTCAGCGCTGCCACCACAGACCAAAGGTTATACTGTGACAAGTTGCTCCTATCAGCATTTTTTTAAAAAAATGCTTCGTGCCACCAAGGGGTCGATGTCGGACGGTTCTGATTCCAGTTTACTTCTTCCACCAGCTTATTTGTGAATCGCTGTCTACATCTTACAGCAGACAGAAAGTAGTCCAGGTGAATTAGCCAAGAACTGCTTGTCAGGAGAACAGAGGTAATTTTCTGGATGATTTGCTGCACATGGATGCCGTTCTGTTTCCCTTTCGCTGTATGCTGCGTTCAAGCGAGAAGGATTTCCTGTAAACACAAACTGTCTGCTGGGGGAAAACTGTGGTAGCTACAGAACAAATATACAGTAGCATGTGGGAAACTTTAAAGCCTCCCCCCCAAATCTAATTGTTAGTGTCAGTGCAGTGAATCCACAGCTGACAGCTCTCCAAGAAAAAAAATCCAAATAATCGCTTGGATTTTCCACACGAGCTCAATGTTCCAGTGTAAGCACTTCCAAGCTGCACCAACATCCTGCTTGTGTGTGTTTTTTTTTCCTCTTACAACAAAAATGCAGATTTTGTTTGGGTAGTTTTCGAAGGGACTGTTGCCGTCAGTGCTACTTACCCAGGGGCGTGAGGTCAAGTCAGTGACTGAAATGAATATGATAAATCTGAGCAAATTTTTTCAAACATGTTGCGGAAATGAGCCGAGATGTGTCCTCTGACGTCTGACTGGCTGCAGCGATGAAGCAGATTCAGATAATGACTGCTTTGGATTGTTATTGTTCTATTTTGCCATCAGTAGTCAGATAAAAATGTTGAGGCAGACCTCCAGTCATTTCATTTTCTCACAGTTGTGCTCCATCCATCATCACAAATCCTGTTAACGTTCATCCATCACTGTAAAAACCCCGGGGAGTCTCTCTGGTATTTCTCTCATCTGTCTCCTCCCTGTTTATTTGGTTTCCTTTCGTTTTTTCCTCTTGTTCTTGTTTTTCTCTCGTGCTTTTCAGAGGATTGTTGTTTTCACAGCAGAAAAAGTAGAGATGGGTGGCAAGAAAGAGATGGAGACAGAACAGATGAAGGAAGACAGATAGAAATATGGAAACTGAGAAATAGTGAGACAGACAGCGAACAATAAGAACAATACGGAGAGTACAGCACAGACAGTGTGATTGTGTCGTCTACAAATTCCGCTCTTATCAGCTTTGTTTACCACATCAGGAGACAGCTCAGTTCACCGAATGCACTCTGATGAAGCCACTGTAGACGACCTGGCCGGCGCTAAACAACAGATAAACTAAAGACCCACATTTCTGTCAGGAAAAATAAAGATAAAAGGAAAGAATATTGAATTTACTCGTCAGGTATTCAGAAACCCAACGTGCTAATATGTGTCTTTACAGGATGTGTAAAAAGGAAACTGTTTGCTCATACAAATAACATGATACAGAAGCTCGGGGCTGCCGTCTAGTGTCGTCACAAGGTGGCAGTATAGGCAATAGTGGCTTTAATAAAAGGAGTAGAAGAAGCTGGAAACAAAGCTTAGATTTAAAAAGTAAAAACCAACGCAGAAGTGCCTCTAGAATACATACTTTCCAACGGCCACTAGGGGGGTGACTTCTCTGATCGCAAAAAGAAGAAGTCTGATTTTATAGAGGTCTGTGAGAAAATGAGCGTACAACTCACTTTGTTACCTCAATGAGTCGAAGATAACAAAAGATGAGGTAGCAGCTCATCAGTCATGCAAGTTAAATGTTTGCTTTGTCAGAACTTATTCAAAATAGGTGTTTCCATCTACCATGAAGCTCATTAGCTTCACTTCCTTACTTATCCCGTTAACGTCTGTTGGGACACTAGCAGTGTGTCAGATGATGCGCGGTTGCTTCGCCATTCCATTCGCCATTTACCCCTATCGAGGGCATCATCAGGGGCTAGCCCCCAATCCGCTAAGGTCCCCTGACAGCAGCTCCTCCCATGTTTTCCTGGGTCTCCCTCTCTTTCTTTTTACGGCGACATACAAGTTCCTGATTTTGTTGATGAACTGAGTACTACGGTGGACAAGTCCGAACCATCTTAGACGGCGGTACCGGATCTCTGTGTGAAGATCAACGAGGCCTAATTTTATACGAAGCTCATGAGCAGATGTGCGCATCGGGCTTGATGTGGTCCATCCATCTCAGCATGGATCTCTCCATGGCGCTCCAGGCGACTTAGATCTTCTTTCCTTAGAGGCCATCACTCGCAGCCATACAGCATGGTGCTTCGGATATAAGTGTTGTATACGTGGCCACGGACATCGGGTGATACGGACCTTGATGACAGGAGAGGCAACAGTTCTTTGAATTTCTTCCAGTCCGATCTGGTTCTAGTGATAGTGGCGAGATCACAGCCGCCGCCAGCACTAGACTGTATAAAAGATGGACGTAGCAACCGGCCCTGAAAAATGAAGCCAACCCGGAAGTGTCAAAACCTACGTCCACTAGCTGCTGGCTCCAAAAAGCCCTGGCTCCCATAGACTTGAATTGGAAAAGAAGTGATCACAGATCACCAAATACCGCATTCCTACAGCTCAGGATTTTTTTCTTATTAGTTTTCATAGTGAAATCCAGAGATCAGGTGGCCAATCTGAAAATAAATCAATACTGAATTTTTAAAAAATCGTCAACATTTTGCGGGGCAAGGGGTGTGGCTGGCTTGATTGACAGTCGGCAGCGACCATACAGACGAAGCGAGCAGAAGGCGGTAAATGTGGGCGGGCTGAGAGGGCCCGCCTCTCAATCCGTCTGACCAATCACTGCTCCGATGGCTCCGCCCCCCTCCCACGATTTTTGCGTCACTGGCTCCAAAAATCCAAGATGTCAACCAGGAAGTAGCAAAACCCTGGCTTCATTTTCTCAGTGCAGAAACCAACGGGTGACGTCACGGTAGCTACGTCCATCTTTTATGCAGTCTATGGCTCCAGCACATAAATTGTCTCCAAGATAACAAAAGGAGTCAACGGTTTCGAGCATGTGATCGCCAATAGCCACTTGACTGCACTGAGACTTTGGTTGGAAAATCACTTGCAGCAAGCGTTTAAACTTTTTTTGCAAAATGTAGAAAGTTTTGTCAAATTTTTTCCCTTTACGTGAACCTCTCATAAAAGTGCACATAAAAATACTTTATTGAAAAAAATATGGCTAACGTGATGTCTCACCAACAACTTTTATCAACAGTAAATGTCAGCTTTTTTAATCTCAACTGATTCAGGAGAAATGAAAGGTCCCAAAGAAGAATCTGTTCTCAATGTGGACCACTGATGGCATCTTTAAATATACATTAAAACGGCATTGACTCTTTCTTTGGCAGGGCTACATAGTAAAATGTGCTGACATATTATCACCTTTTAAGTTGACTGTGCAAGTAGAGGCAAGTAGTTTCCTTGTGGTAACACAGCTTCATGTGTCCTCCACATCATATAACATTAAAGTCTGTACATCGAGGATTGTGAGGATGCTTGGAGGAAAGCAAAAAAAACAGAACCTCGTGTATATTTTTTGAAGCAGCTGGCTTTCATGCCACATTCTTGCCTCGTGTGACACGGTGGTTAGAGGAACATTTCCTTGGCTGGAGGGTCCAGCTGCCCTGGATCATCCGTCCTAGAAACATATGTACTCAGTTTACCATAAGGCACTCTGGGTGAAAGCAGCGACTGAGTACCATATGTTCAGTGTTAGTGTTACTGTCACACAGACACTGGGTGAATATTATTTTTTGTCAATCTGTGTCAAATTTTAGTATTGTTGAGGTCAAGTTGTGTTCATTTTTTTGCTGGCGTCTAATATGTACACAATTCAGAGAGCAGCGGAAAAGAGAAACTGATGCATTGTGTCTGTGTGTCGGGGTGAAAGCATATCAGAATTTTCTGCTTTTGTTTCCACGTGCACTTGAGTCCGGATGCATGTGTGTGTACATATGGCTACATAATTCCCTCCTTTCTCTTCGTCAGTGTGCACTTTGTCTCCAGAGCTTTTTCTTTTTTTTTCTCAATCCAAAACCTCTGGATCCCACATGATAGCTCCACAGTAACGAGACAATCTGCGGCTCCGACCTTTTTTTTTTTCCCTGTGCCCTTGGAAGTGAAATGAACCATTCCTCCCTGTGCATCTGTGAGGTTCAACATTTTCCATATATTTCTTGATGCTGAAGAGTTTCTGGTTCATCCTGAAAGTTTTTGCAAAACCTGATGATTACTGTCAGTGTTTTCAACTCTTGAGAAGATGTTGTTATTGTCAAAAGGAATATTTTGGAGAGTTATCCACAGGAATGTGAAAAATATAGTACACCAGCAACCATTAAAACTGGCCAGAAATGTTGGTTTTGGGTTGATGGTTTTTCACTGGTGGACTTTTCAGAAGAGAGCACACAGATCTATAATCAACCTTCACTGTTTACGGACATGCAGTTCAACAAACATTCACTATAGCTGTAACTTTTCTTCACTCTCCTCACCTTGTTTTTCTTCCACCCTCAGGTTGTGACAGCCATGACGACGGTGTGTTTGAGGCTGCTTTTGCTCCTGCCTTTGGTTTGCTGCGTGCCCTCCCCCTCAAAAGCACCGTCCAGGCTCTGCAGACGATGCTGCGACCATCCAGAGCCTTCAGCAGCCACGGCTCAGTATCAAATGCCCGAAGTCCGAACCGTCATCAACATGACCATCCTCAAAGGTACCAGAACCTAGATTAGCTCCTGTCGACTCCAAACTGCGTTCAAGTTGAAGAAGCAGCACTTCAGGTGTAAATTAGCCGCTCCGGTGTGCAGCTCTTCTTGTCAGAATGAACATGAGAAATCAGGCTTTGAGACTTGTTTGTACATTTGACAGGTACAGTGTTTTTACCAAATAATACCGAGTTTGCAGGAAAGTTGCTTTTTAATTCTCTGAAACCTTCCAGGATTGCTCTTTCCCCTCCTCTTTTTTTTCTTTTTTACATTAATTACCGCTTCTGGTTTTTGAGATGTCTGTCTGACAGAGGTAGTCCTTAATGAGAAGGGTAATCACGTACGCTATAATGGAACAGTGCTGGTGAAGTGTAACCATGCATTGATGCTTAAGTGGAATTGAGACAAAAAAAAAAAGAAGAAAAAAAGAGACAGAGACTGTCTTTGAAAAGTAAATTAGATACTTCACCGAGAGAAGCAACCTGGAACCACTTTAAAAATCAGCCTCTCTTCAGCATTTCGTGAAGGAACCAGACAGCCAAATACGAGCAACTTTAATAGCTTTTGACAGCATCTGTCATAGAAAATTCTTATCTGCATGTGAATGTATGGAAGCCAGGAGGCAGAGAAATTAAATTAAGGAAGAGAGACATTTTGCTCCTAAAAAAAAAAATCTATCTACAAACCAGGCAAAAAGCACAACGGAACCATTTTATCTGTTTGCAGTCTGTAAAAGAAGCATGTCACTGTGTCTGTGTCAACATGGTTTAGAGGCACAGCATGTGTGAAAGTTAATAAGTCCTAAACAAGCTTGTTTTTCAACTCTAGCCTTTGCTACTGGAGATCTTTATGTGTTCAAAATTTGGGACTTTACCAGGAATGGACCTAAACTGTAAATGTTGATTGAACTTGAATCATTTGCGTCAGGTGTTGGCCTCAAATGGTTTAAGTTACTGACAGCAGAGAAACTTAATTTGTTCAAGTGCAGTCAACTTAAATGTAGAATAGTCAGAACCTAATATTATAAGTCAAATACACATCCTAGTTGTATTAAAATTATGAATATATAAATAAAAAAAATACTTGGGAGAATGCTACGCCCAGTCTAGGGGCACCTGAACGCAGCATGAATGCGCCGTCTTTCTCCGGTCCCAAGCAGTCACACCACAGCAGTTTTACCAGGACAAATAATAATTTATTTATAATAAATGTGAGGTTTACAACAAAGGGAATGATTAACTTAAAATAAGAATGAGCTCTACCGAAAATAACCAAAACGACACTAAACTAGGGGAGAATTCAACTTGCCTGTCAACATAAAAGTATTAAAAGTCAACACAAAAAGTCTGGCCTCGCTATCAAACATAAACAGGAGAAAAAATGGGTTCAAACAAAAAGGTAGCAGCTCGCTCTATTTACAGAGTAGACAATACAACGATGACGTGGTGCTGTGCCGGTTGGCATGACGGTGAGGAATGGCTCCGCCCATCTGAACCTCTCTCTGCACCACTGGCGACGTCCTCCCTCTGTATTTAAGACCGGAACTTCCGCTGATCAACCAATCCGGTCGTCGCTACGGTGCAGCCCTATTTACATCATAGACTGTATAAAAGATGGACGTAGCCTGCTAGCTTGTGCACTGAGAAAGTGAAGCCAGGGTTTTGCTACTTCCTGGTTGACATCTTAGATTTTTGGAGCCAGTGACGCAAAAATCGTCGGAGGGGGGCGGAGCCATAGGAGCAGCGATTGGTCAGACGGATTGAGAGGCGGCCCTCTCTGCCCGCCCACATTTACCGCCTTCTG